CTTTATGTGAGAGTTTCTTTCCCCCCCCCCCAACTTTCACCATGGGTGGTTGAAATATTTTAGGAAGATTTAAAACTAAATAATTTGTTTCTAATTTCATCTGCCCTTCTTTTACTACAGCTGTACTTTTTTAATAATCTCATTATGAAACTCTTGTAAGTGGTGACCTCCCCATATTTTATGGTTTTACACTTTTAATCTGCTTTATTATGTAACACACATATATATACACACATATATGTTAAGATCTTACATGTTGAAGGTATTTTCTCAAACTGGTTTCAAACTGAGCTGTATAAACAGGTTTCAAGTGGAAGACTTCTTGCTGTCAGCAGGACACTGCACTTAAAAGAATTTGACTCTGCTTTTTTTTTATTTTTTAAATTACTGTACTTACAGGTATTTGTTTCTTTCTGAAAGCGAAAGTGCTGCAGTCAAAATGGTTTAAAATGGCTGCATATATGTGATTGCTTTTGATATAAAAGCACATGGAAAAAGTTTCAGATACGCAGAAGACCTTAACATTTCTTTTTGTTTAAAAGGAAAAAAAAAAAAGAAAATCCAAGAACAAAGCGGTACCGAAGGCTGAGTATGTGGTGGTTTTCATCAAGCCTAATTCAAGATGCTTGAGATGTTTTTGAAAGTTCAATCTTGGCACTAACAGCTGAGAATGTAGTGATAAAAGTCATAAGACTCATGATGCAGAATCCAATTTATTGGTCCACACCCTGGACTCAGACGTCTTTGAAAATTTATAAAGATTACAGTAACATTTAATTTCTGAAACTATGTTGGGAATGTTTGAAAAAATAAAAAGGAAAGATGATCATTTAGATAAACTGCAACACGTGATCCTCTGGACTGTGCTTACACAGGCACAGCAGTGGATCTGGAGCACAAGTCAGAACTAATCCTGCAGCACCAAAGCTGTATTTTCACCCATCACTCTGCAGCTGTTAATAATGATTTGTAACGGAAAAAAAGACAATTGCAAGTTGGCAATTTTTCTGTGATCATATAAACATAATTTTTTTCTTTTCTTGTTTCTTTTTTTTTTTTTTTTAAGGAGAAGAGAAATCTTCCATGGGTTCTGCAATCTTCCTGGTTTTCTTTTTCTGTGTTTAACCTTTTTCTAGTTACTTGTGAAAAACATAGGAGCATTTTTATTGCTGTTATCCTTTGAATCGTATTTTAAAACTCCACTAACAGCTCATGGTATTTCTTTCCCTGCCCCACTTCCCCTTCTTTATTTTTATTTTTTTTAACTAAGAGTCTAGTTTTGCTGCAGGACTGCTCAGAGGCTTTATTTTTTAACTGGTGACAGCCTTTTCTCCAGGTTTTTAAGGCATCACATAGTTAAAAATAGAAATTTTGGGCTCGCATATCTGAATGGCTAGCAAAAGACACCAACAAAATAATTTATATCTAATTCTCTGTAATTCTTTCCTAACTCAGGTGTTCATAGTCTAATGCTTGTATGTTCCCATATTTCTGTTCTTAAATTGCCTAAATGCCGTTCAGATATATTCAAATTAATTCTTAGTCTTTCTGTCAAAATATCAGGAAAGCAATGGTGCATTGCATAAACAACTCCTGCTAGAGATCTTTCAGCCCTTTCCCCATATCCATCACTGGATGTTGGTGTTTGGGAGTCTCCTGTATGTCAGCTCTTGCTTCCTTAATCTGATCCTAAGTGAATTAAAAAACGCCCTGAAATTTTTAGTTCTTTACAGTCACAAAGAGAAGACTAAGCATTTTACAAACTCTGCTCCTGGTTTGGAGAATTAGGTTTGTCCTGTCACATTTATACATCCATTTTGCAGAAGCTTCTTCTGCTTAGTGATCCTCTGACAACTCCATTTCAGATTCATGAGTTGCAGGAGTGTCTGTGGGCATTATTTCCATTTTATTATTTGTTTGTTTGTTTAGTAGATCTTTTTATTCAGTACACCATTTTCCTATTACTAGTGAGTGAATATTTCCTGAAGAGAAAGGTTTCACTAATAGTTGTGTACAGGCAGACTCCCAATTGTAAGAGGCTAAAATTATAAACACTTTATAAAAAACTGTGCCTTTAAAAGTCAGGTCTTATTTCAGAAAGATTGCTGGTGGCTCCAATTTCATGTTCAGGCTTCTTTGGCATTTCATTGGGAGGCTAGGGTGAAACTCCTTTCTATATATATATTTTACTCTAAGCCCCTGCTAATAAGTTATTCCAATAGATTTTCTTTAATGGATTTTCATCTTCTTATAGTCCAAGTCTGTAGGATCTTTCATTACTGTGTTCAGCTGTTTAAATTACTAAATGTAATTCTTAAGAGTTCCATGAAGAAGCACACTCTGTAAAGACTGTGGGGGTATAAACCTTTCCTAAGCTGCTGTCACAAGCCAGTTGTGTTATACAGTAGTGTATAAAGTAGGTCATAGTTTTTTCACAGTTATGCTGAAACAACCAAGTGTCAAACCAGAACATCAGTCCTGTACATTGAGATGAGGGAAAATAGTGCCTGCTATCCAAAATAGATGGTAAAGATGTTTGAGCTTAATGCATATATAAATAGGACAAAGGCTAGTCCTCAGACAGCTAATAGGAGTTCTGCAGATTTTTGAATATTCCACTCCCAGGAGCAAGTGAACAGTAAATCCAGATACATTCCAGTGCTTCCTTTAGCCATCATCTGTGCCTCAACCCTGCAACACATACCTGATGAACTATGTCAAATGAGCTGCACCTCCAAGGAACGTGGCACACCAAGTCGTAGATGACCTTATTGTTAGTAGGAGCAGCAAGTCAAAAATAACAGTTAACAGTTGTGCTCCTCAAGAGCAACCCCCACCTCATTTCCAAGGAAATTAATCAGTCCCCACTAGTGCTTATTATTGCAGTGGTGGCTATAGTGTCCTATGATTTACAACATGCATGTGACTAAAGGATAGTTTAATCAGGTTTGTTCACTATTAAAAATAAGAGTAATGAGTAAGGAGACTGAAACATAGTGCCAACAAAACCATACGACCTATACAGATAGAAGCCCTAATACTAGAAATAAGTGAGATGTGAGTTTTTTTTTTTTTTAAACATACATTGTTACAACACTTAAGGGCCTCAGTTCCTCTGTCTTAGGACTGAAAACAGGAACTTGCTTTTGAATATGTGTTGTCTGAAAGAAATGGGCTGGATTATCAGCTAGTGGAACTTGTTCTGAACATCTTCCTTAGGCATTTCAAAGTATTTTAAGCAAGTTAGTTCAGTTTGATGTGTCACATCCTGAAAAATACATTTTTCCAATGGAAATTTCTAGTGAAAATACTTAGCCAGGCACTTCTTTCCCCATCTTTCCAGCTTATCTGAATCCTGAGGACATCTTACTTTTCTATCTGCATAGGAAGCAAGTATATGTCAGAAACTATTTACATAACTGCTTGAAATTCATATTCCTGCTGACAACCTGTGCTTCCTGGTTAGTGTGATGTGATTTGAAATTGTTATGCGTAAGTAACACAGGTTATGATAAGACATGGACACTCCTGACTAAAACCACTGCTAGCAGATACCTAAAACACCTCCTTGCTTTAATGGAAAAGTGTGTATGAGCCCTGAGGTTTTTGAATATGTTGCAATGTTTATGAAATATTTGCAAAGGCCAGCCTCATCACATCAAGGAATATTAGATAAAATTCAATGCACTAGATAGTACTTTGTATATAGGATATTCATAGTCCTATGGGATATTGAATCCACTCTTGATTTTTCCCCTCACCAGCTGTACAAGCAGAAGCCCTAAAATCCAGAAGGGTCCTGTGCCAGGAAGGCACTGGGCACATGTTGCCTTGAGCATTGTAGGACACAGGGTGTATCCTGCCACTGCAGTCATATTTTGGGTTTTTAAGGTACTGGCTGTGTTCCTCCTCCTCATACATCCCTTCTCCTGTTTTCTGTGACCTGAGATCTTCCAGGTTGGTAGCACACTGAGCACCTTAAGTTAACACATGGGCCTCTTGCATCTCAGTACTCTGGGTATGTACCACGAGGATTTTGTCTGCTGGTTTTCAGCTGCACACCTTGGAAGGGTAACTAAGCCCTCCTGAAACTGTGTGTACAAAAGGGCATTTTTTGGGCTTATTTGGGGTTCTTTGCCTCTAGCATAACTTTTACATATAAATCTCCCCATAAACTTGATGTGAAAGGTATATAGTACACATGCATCTTCTGAAGTGGAGGGAGTAAAAAACCAGATTTTTAAGTTAGAAGGTAGTTTGTAAAATTCTAAAATATTAAAACCAGAACATGATAGCTGAAATCACAGGAGTAGAATGAGGAACCAGACTGTTGTATCAGCAGAAGAAAAACATTAGGTTAATCTGTATTACAGCACTCTGAAAGAATACAGAGCTTTGAAAACAGCTTTCACTAGGGGGTGGGACATTTTACTTTTATGTAGAGCTTTTGTTCATTTAGAATTGTTTACTCCAGCAAGCAACCCTGCGCTCTTTGTTTGACTGATTTTTTCCCATTTGGCAGACCCTTTGCAATCACATGGATAACATTCTTCTTTCCACTGAGACATAGAAAAACTATTCTTTATTGACCTTGCTTGTTGTCCTAAATGACAAAAATATATTTATATACTAGGTGAACTGTATGACTTCATCCCTGACTTTTAATTGAAAATTCTTCAAAGCAAAAACCTCAAAGAGCTGCTTTCATTCTGTTGTGTTTTTTTTTTAAGAATCCAGTGACTTCTTACCAGCAAACAGCTCTGCCCTCAGCTTCAGATGCACAACTCCTACAGCTGGCACGGAGAGCTACGTGCAAGTATCTGAGTGCTGAAGCTGTGTCAAAACAAAAAAAAAAGCGCCATGCAAAGAAGAAATAAGCTTTTTGGGTTTAGTGGGGGATTTTTGTTTATTTATTGAACAACAGGCTATTTGCTGAGGAAGTATGGATGTTTACTTTTTTGTTTCTGTGCCTGTTCATTTTTTTTTTTTTATGATTGCAGTGGGAAGAACCTTGGAAGACTTGGAAGAACATACCCAAAGTCATCCAATATGTCAACTTTAGTTTCCTCACTAACATTGCAAAACACAAAGCTCAAGGACTAAACTGTGTGATACTGATTTAGAAACTCTCTTAGCACTGTAGTTTTACTTTCACACTGTAAATCAAAGGGAGATTATACAAGGATCTAGCATGCCAAGACAAAATTCAGTCCTGGTCTAAGTGAACACAATTCTGTTAAAACAGATGGTATTGTGCACATTTAGCCAAAAATGTTGAGTCTATGTTTATCTTGTTTTCTTGAATGCTCACTTAAAACCTTTTCTGACAGGAACAAAACTCTGGATTAAATAAATGGGGTTACACCCACACGTAGGCAAGTGTTAAAGCTAAGGCAAAAATCTTCATTTGGCATAAAGTGGACTTCACTGACTGGTGCAGAGCTGTGACAGTTGCCACAAATCCAGGCCCAGTTCAGAAGGGTCTGATTTGCAGAAACACTGCCCCTGCAATTCCAGTGGAAGGCAATGAGAGCTGGGGTTGCTCTGCATTTCTGAAGGGGAAAAAAGTCAAAGGCCCTTTTGTTACCACTTAGCACATGAACTGAGCAAGTGTAGAATTAAGATCCCAGTGACAGCATTTTCACAAATCTTACATATGGTACTTACCTGTATTAGGTCCAGTAAAACTCAGATTGGGCCCTCTGCTTAGGAGCTCTCATTATTTTTTTGACTTAGTCCTGTTGAGCATAGTCTTATTTAAGCCTTTACAATTTTATAATTAGAGAAGATATTTGCAGTTCTGCTACTAATTCCATGTAAGTCAATGATCTACTTGTTTCAAACGAACACATGATAAAACATGGATAAGAGCACTTGCTGTGGCTCCACATGGATTTCTTCCATCACTTACACAGACTTTGTCTTACTGTTATACCAGTACCCACCCCTCATTTTTTTTCCTGGGTGGTGACAGTTGTTGCACCAGATCTGGAAAATCAAACCATTTGAAGAAAAAGCCATCTCCAACCCCAGCTGTATGATCCTATCCCTTCCTTTTCCCAAGCATGAGCAATTGAGCCAGGACAGGAAACTGCTGAGCCAACTGGAAAAAAAAAAAAAAATCACTAGTCTGTTAAGAATTTGGCTGCTCATCTCTTTGACTGGCTCACTGTGGGTTTGATAGGTGCCAGAGCTAAGGGTAAGCACGGGAATGTGGCCAAAGGTGGAGGAATGTGGCCTCTAGAAGCCTGTTTCCTTCAGTTTAACTGAGCTGACACTGAAGAACTGCACCAAAGGACAATGCCGTCTGTAGCACCCTTAGTTCACTGTAATGGAAAATCTTCAGGTGGGTTTTAACAGCAACTCAACACAAACATTGTAAGTAAATAGTAAAGCCTTTATTCTCGTTAAGAACAGCATTTTGAAAATAAAACATTTGCCCATGCTTTACAACCTTTGTAGTTTTGTATACTTATGTACAGTCATCATGGTACACATTGATTGTCTTGAAAATCCTTTAAAGATGTACTTAATAAGATTCCAGTATGCAACAATCAGCGGAAAAAAGGGTACGTTATAAAACACACGTTAATACATTTAATAAATATATATTATCTATCAAAAATGAGCTTTAGCTCTCATCAATTAATAAAAAGCACCTGCTTTGTAATCCTGTTAAGTTGGTAGAATAGTCCAATTGTTTTATTATAAAAGCTACAATGCTCCCTTTTGTATGGCCTTTGGTTAAATCCAAGGCATCAAGCTCAAACAAAGCCAACCAAGATGCCTGTGTTTAGATTAAAAGCTGAAACAGCTCGTTCTATAGTAGTCATGTACCTTGTTTATATAAACAGTTGTATGTCTTGAGAGTGTTCTTCTGAAGATGCTACATATTTTCTGGTAAGCGTCAAACACCCTCAACTCATCTGAAAGCAGGACAGGATCTGTAAAGAATGGCTCTGAACTCTTTTCCAGCCATTGATCAAAAGCCAGTCATTATAAATCTTGTTTTGGTAATAGTTTTTTCAGATGCTTTGTGATTTAATTTTTCTGCATGGAAACACCATGAGCACATAACCATCAAGGGACAACACAGTAGCTTTTATAGTATAAAAGCTAATTATAATTAGGAGAACTGCGAAAGGCTTGTGCTTACTTACTTATTATGTTGTTCACAGATGCTCTACATTCTAGAAAACTTTCAAAAAAGGCAAAAGTAAATACTGTAACAAAAATATAAGTTAACATAAAGGTGCCTTTCTTCAATTACAGTTTTATTTGGGGCGTTTTACATCACAGACTAGTTTACAAAAAAAAAAAAAGTTGCTTATTACTAATTGTATAAAGTTGGAAAATAAAGACCCTCCTAATCTATTGCCACACTTTCACCACCACACGTTAAACCCAATCCTGCTAATTTTTAGTTTTGTGAATAGTCCACATGACTAACCCAGTGAGACTAGTCATGTGAGTAGCAGTTTGTAGGATCTGGCCTTATCTTTGCATAAGGCCTCAAATTCCAAACAACTTCATCAGAAGCAGGATTGGGAACTCTATTTATCAATTCAGTCACATCTAGAAAAAGAAAAAAAAAAGTTTCTTAAGATAACTATATCTTGTACAGATTTTGTCCAAGGTCTGTAAAATGTGTATTACACTTCATAAGTCTTGGTTGTAGCATGATAAATTTTTAAAAAGAAAGCTGTCCTACCATTTGTGCCATGGTCATCTTATATGTTTTTATGACAGAGTTTTATGAGGGATTTTTTAAAGTGGTTTTTAAAAGCAAAATTCTGCAGGCAAGTGATGGGTAATAGTTTTTTTTATTGTTCCAAATTAAGCATAATATGGGTAGCTATTGTCATCTCAAATAGCCTTATTTGATCAAAGCTCCGCCTAAAACAAGCAAAATGTATTTCTAAGTCGCTGGATAGCATGCAATATCCACCCCTACCCTACTTGGTTACTAAGGCCATCTAGTTACATACCAAATGAAATAAAGGATCCCTAAAACAAGCACATGCTTCCTTTGCCTCGAGGAGGGAAGGGCAGGGGGGAGCTCATGTACTCCTTCACTCATGCATGACAGAAAAACATTGCTTCTGGAGGAGAAGGGCTTTGAAATAAAATCCCATAAGATGATCATGGCAAGAATGGCAATATATATTTTTCCATATATATATATATATATACATGTATCTGTGTGCAACACTTAGGGACTGGTCTTGCAGCCTCTGTACCTGTATGTAGACCTACTGGTGCCGATGGGACTACTCGTGGGAGTACAAGTCTGCAGGACTAGGTTCCTAATTCAGTAGAAATGGAGGTACATGAAGAATCAGGAAGACTCTTGAAAAATAAAAAGCTTGTCTTTCTTTTGCAGTACACAGCAAGTAACTTCTCTCTGTGAAGCTACTAAGCTATTCAGTTATTTGTACATTTTATTTCTTTTTTTTTAGTTTGAAAATATATATTTTTATTACAGCATATGCAAAGTTTAATTGTTATATGTTTCCTATGCCTTCAAGTAAAAACAATTAGCTTTTAGTATCGAGGAAAGCTAAGATTAACATTGGCCAAACAGTGAGGATACAATGATGTTTTCAATGTCCGATATGTATTAAATGTTAAAGAAAGGAATGATTGCTTCAACATAATGAAAAACCATGGCACAAAAAATGGGCAATGGGAACCTTTTAAATAACCTGGAGAAAACAAAGATAAAAAGGGTTGAGAAAGTCTGCCTTATATCAACTCAAGAAAATGGATGGGGAGGGGAGGAGTAGGGAAGAAACCACCTTAAATAAACAAAAACAACAACAAACCACCTCCAGCACAGAGATTCTACTCTCTAGGCACTAAAATGCACAACCACATTTAAATGCACAAACAACTGCAGTCAAGGGGACTACTCATACGAACAGGGACTAGAAAGGGAGGTCTCGACCCTACTCTGCTGCTGAGTGTCTCCCAGGGGTGGGCAGTGCTCCCCGGCTGCCACCGCTCCTGCCTGGCCATCAGCCCGGCCCGAGCGTGGACAGGGCAGCAGCGCTGCCTTTCAGCCACCAGCACAACCAACTGCTGCTGCAAACGCCCCTCACATCCCCTCCCAGCTAAGCCTTTGCCAAAGGACATCCCTGCAAGGTCTCACTGAGCGGCTTCGCCCGCAGGAGATGTGGGAGCGCAGCTCTTTGCTCGTGACCGGGGCCGAGGCTGGAACAACACGGAATCCATCCCACGAGGCCGAGGACGGCTGCCTCTGTGCTGGACCTTGCACTTTCCCTCTCTGCCTCAAGAAGCTCCATAACTCACATGAAACATGCCTAGACCTTTCATCCCTCCAGAACTGCACCTCCTAGACCAGCTTGTTGAAGAGCGGTGTATCAGCCTACGGCGTAATGGGAATTTAGTTGCCACGGAGTGACGATGCTTGACTACACATGATGCTACGTGACTGTACAGTACAGCTACATAATGAGCAAACAAGGTACTTCTCATGACGTTTGAAATGAAGGGAAAAGGAGCAAAATGGAAAGAAGTCCTGCGTGGCAATCTCTTGTGGCAACATGAATTAAGTTTAGGTGAGAGGAGGGTATTTTGCAAGCAACTGGCAACCACCAAAACCAGGCTTGCCTGGCACACAACTTACAGACGAGAATATCTTACATTTCAGAATACAATATCCCCTCTTCCAATTTAAGGTGTGCCTACTTCAATTTTAAGTTAGATTCAGCTTCAGTTTTACAATTTTGTTTTTGCAATTCTCAGTTCAATGGTGTTCACATTGAGACAAAATCCTCTGTAGGATTTCGAAAGATCCTGGATGTTTTGTTGCTTTGTTCTGGTACTGTTATGGATTCCTTCCCTCAAAGACACACTGCCAGGGAACAACATCTGCAACAAGGATTCTTACTCTCTACAGCCTACAGCCTTTCACCAGAGGTGTCGTCCAGTGTAACTTGGCGGAGCAGTTGGTATCTGGAAATAAGGATAACAAACCCATAACTGAGAGATCTAGACTGTTCACAAGTCAGTGTTATCATGCTACATGTACATGACAGCTTTCCAGATGGTAGTTCCAGAGCAAAGTGACACAAAGAGACTCATCTTCCACCCACACAGTGCATTCACCTCTCTGTGAAAACCATGACTATATATACACATTAATCACTATCTGATGTTCTCCACTGAGCTTTGTATCCATCTCAGAGCAAAGAAAAAACAAACAAAAAAAACCCCAAACCACATTCTCAAGCTTCTCATCCTTAAACTGCCTTTTCCCTGAGCTGCACGTTCTGGTATCAGAAAACAGGCGGAGATAAATCCAAACATCAGAAGGATGCAGTCCATTACTGACACAGAGCAAAGCCTTTTCATTTTACTCAAGTT